CAAAGTGTCTAAAGGGGGGACCAAAGAGGCCACCTCATCATTTCTGTGTATCTATGTGTGTGTGTGTGTGTGTGTGTGTGTGTGTGATTAATACACACACATATAAGACACCTCATACAAGGTTGTACAGAGCCCGTGTGTGGGAGAGAAATAGTGTGCGCAGGATGTATTTATCTCCCTCTGTCTGTGTGACCGTGTTGGTGTGTGTGTGTATGTGTGATTTTTGTCAGCAGGTAGTGGGACAAGGTGCAGTGCAGTCTAGCCACTCGTTATTTTCCTCCAGTATCCTCAGATGACCCCAGGAATGAACATGCACAAAGATGTACACAACTGTGATCCTGTTGATAGTAATTTTTTCAGCATCTGTTAACAAATATGTGGGAAATGTATAGCAAAGATGCTTGGAATATTCTGTAAGAAAGTAATATCAGACTAATAAAAGTGTTTTACTTTATAGTGAACAAATCATCTTCCTTCCAAGTGTTTCAAATATTCTATTTGTAAGGTCCACACATTTCATATGAAAGAACGTATGTTAGTGCTATTTAATAACTTTGTAGCTGCAACGTTCTGCAATGACAGAATGTATGACATTAAAACAGGTAGGTTTAGCCGCAAATCCATGGTAAACCTACACACAAATTAAACAACTTTCTAATGGCGAGCCAATTAATGAGGGGGGTGGGATTGACCTCTCATTCAAGTGGCAGTGAGTTCTAGATCATGACAGATGACAGATGTTAATAACAGTTTTACAACTTTGTGCTCTCCCGTTGTTAGCCTGCTGGCCTTGCTAGTTCCCACAGTGTGTGCTTACAACTAAATTATTATACTGTAAATCTGATTGAACATAGACCAGTAAAATCAAAAACTTTATGGTCTGTGGCTCAGCATCAGTATTTTAAGCCTTCTATGCTAGTAAAAACATGCCTTGTTTAACAAACATGGCAGAACAAAAGACAGAGTAGACTACTACTACTATCATTAACATTGATCGACAATATAAAACATTGATTGACAGTGATCAGTGTTTGAGCATTAAATACTTACTTTCCTGCATTCTGGAGACATTTTCTGCACCAATTTATGGAGGAAATTGAGGTGTTAGGTGACAATTCAAAATATAAAATATAATAGAATATAATGCAGTAATCAGCGTTTGGACAATGCACATTTGTTTCTTCTATATTTCAATAGCATTGCATGTTTTCTTACTGTCCATTGTTTCATTTGTTATTTAACATTTATTGTAAGTGATGGAGACATTCTGATTCTGACCTGTCCCCAGCATCCCCAGTGTAAATGACACCTATGTGTCAATACTTTTAAATGTCCCACCCCATCCAGGCTGTGATTGGTTGTTTCACGACAAGTGACACTGACGAGCTACATTCACCACACGGCTGCTTGAAACGCACCCGAGCTTCTCTTCTCCCTCATCTGTGTACCGGGGCGTACTGCCCTACTTCAAGCCCTGACAATGATTGTAACAGAAATCAGAAAAGTCAAACATTCCTTGACTATGTTAGTCCACTACTACACCAAGCAATCCATACCAGCAAAACAAAAACATAAACTACTTTGAGTTATTGTTAAAAATGAAGTAAATGTTACTAGGGCTAAACGATTAATTGCATTTGCGATGTTATCACGATGTGATAAAACAAGATTTTCTAATCGCAAAGGCTGCAACGGTCAAGTGACACCCAAGAGTAAAGCAATCTGCAGGAGGAAGCATCAACTTACGCACCTTACGCTGTACCTTGACTTGTTGTTGTACAATGGCTTTAAGCTTGACAGAAGCTGACACTACAGAAACTTTAGCATCACACAGGGTGCTACTTTCACAAATGTAATGTGGCACCCGCCACCCGCAGGTAACTCGGTGGTGGTGGTGAGTGAAATCATCTGAAAGAGGCCCTTTGTGTTCTGAGTTGCAACCTGGTTACAGCCAGTGCGCTGCTTGCTGGCATCGGAGGCTGCGGGGGGTGGGGGACACTGGTGTTGTCGGAGAATTACTGAGCTTGTCTATTAAAGGGGCTATATGTAGTTTTTCTACTAAAATTAATCCTTTTTTTATTGCCTGTGTGTGAAGGGGTTGTAATCTGACATTAAAATGATCCACTTGCCGGGTTTGGCAATTAACTCTGAAGGCAAGTATTCCTATTCCTATTTGAAGGCTCCGGGTGGGATTTTCCGCGAAATCCAGTGACTGACACCTGCATGCACGCTCCCGAGGCTCTCGCTTTGTACTGACTTTGCACTCAGCAGAGACGACACTGCAACTTACGACATGGAGTCTGCTAACACTAAGAAACAACCTGCTTCCAGCACAACACAGACTCCAACACAGACTCCAACACAAACTCCACATAAGGATAAGAAACAAAAAAAATGTTTTATCTGCTGAAGCTCGTCAGCCCTAATGCAATCCATGTTACTTTACTCTGTACCACCGTTATGTCAAAGCGTCAAAGCCTGCAAGAATGATGTAATGGTAAAAAGCTAATGTAGAGCGATTTGTTTACTATCCTATTGTAATGCAGCCACGAGCAGCCAGCTAACGCTACAGTAGCTCGGACCCGCCGCTGTTTGCTTCGTAACGTTCAATTTAGATTTATTGCCTTTTACCGATACTCAGGTACACAGCCTGTCCACCTCTCAGTCGCTGTAACTCACATGACCCTCATAATATACAACCCAGTGGAAGAGCCATCCACTAACTCTAGAGTAAATTTACTTACTGCGGTCTAACTGCTATAAAGTGTGACACAATCTTGTTATAATATTCAGTCCAGCTCACTAACGTTAACAGTTTCATTATCATCCAAAACATGTAGCTGTGCTAAAATTGCTGAACCATCCGGTGACAGATTCACAGATAGTAAAGACAGTTACTGAAAGCAGCAGGCAGGCTAACGATGTTGTATCACGTTGGCTAAATGCAGTGTAACTTTATAATGTAACGAGCATGGATTAGTTTAACATCAAGCTGAAAAAAATATTACTGTAACGTTGTAGTGGAAGTTTACCTGAGTTTCCCGCATGTTGTGTGAAGCTGGCTCCCTACCTGTCTATAGCCGCTCTCACTTTGCCTTTTTTCGGGAGTACTGTGCCAATATGCTGGTGTCTCGCTGCGCTGAATGAAAGGTAAGGTGCCGGTTTTGATCCACCTCTGAGATGGTAACGTTGAAGTAACAGAGCCTGAACATGTCTTAGTGAAAAGCCACAGCCTGCATGCTGGTGTTCCTGCGTTTATTGCAGGATTTCTGTATGAAAGCGGTTGTGTTTCGGATTCTGCTCGCTCATGAGTTTAAGCAAGCACGCGTACAAGCACACGCCTGGTTGCAATCTTAAAACCGCACCACTAGTGGCCGCTGGAAACTACATAATGCCCCTTTAAACACGAGAGGCGTCACTTGGTTTTATTTTCGTTTGCTGCCAACTTTTGAATTGAACCTCAAACTGAGTATTTTTTGTTTGCTTACTGGGATACAGAAAGATGGAATCCTAGGAGATTTGAACTGCGATAAGGACGCATTAATTGGTGGTTGAACTGTGGGTTTTGTATTGAGTGCTTACTGTATAATACACTGTGGTGAATTATGGTAGAGAATGGTTTTTGATGATATTATATCATATTATTTAATGCTATGACTTGACTCAAATTATCTTTCTCATATTATTAAAATCTGACACTTCTCCACCATTGCTCATAATAATAATTCATGCATCATGTAATTTCATCATAACACAGGCCTGACCCACAAGAAAGAACAGTGTATGTTTAATCTAGCTAATATTTTGTTGGTCATACTATACACTGATTTACTGCTTGTCCATTTTGAATAATACAGAAGGTAAAGAGCTTAAAAATGTATTGCAAATGAAATTGCAATCGCAATATTGGTTAAAAAAAAATCACAAATAGATTATTTTCCAAAATTGCCCATGTTACCATCCTCACCTTATGTCATTCATTGAGTCAAAGAAAATTAGATACTAAGACACTGTTTATCAGACATTCTCCAGCGGTGGCACATAGTATCTTATGTCCTCTTGCTGGTTCCCATGTACTACTGGAAGGGTATTATTCAGGTGCCAAATACTTTTTGTTGCACAAATCTTCACCTTTCATTATCATTATTTAAAATCAATTCCTTTGACATCCTGTGCAAATCAACTGAAAAAAGATATTCAAGCCTCATGTGAAAAGGTTAACAGTTGATATGTGCAAATTACCGTTTTCAGAGAGTTCCAGGTTTCTCAAAGTTTCTCTTTAAAATGTTCAGAATAGTTTTAACCTCATAGGACTATTATAGTAATGATATATACTGTACAGCCATATTGTTGAGTGCTGAGATGTTCTATGGATAGAATGATAAATTTGCACATCTGTCATTTGTCAGCCTGAAATCCCTAAAGTCAGTGAAATGATGAGGCAGAGATGGGATGCAGATATGCATGCTTAGTCTAGATCAGTGGCTGTAAACTTATTTTCAACCAGTGAACCAAAAAGAAATTTGTTTCTTGGGATAGAAGGGCATAAAAACATATTATTGCTTATGTGGGAAACCATGTAGGTGACCTCTTAAAGTAGAGAGCCATTTTTGGGTACCACCGTCCAGTTTGAGAAACCAGAATATACTGTAATTTTACGCCTCTTCTTTTATTTACCTGTCTCCCCAACCTTCAGCCCCTCTCAGTCACCCTCTCCCTCTCTTGCTTCGCATTTTCTCTGTTTTCTTCTCTCCCTGAATCTGTCATGAATATTCATGAGGTTGTTATTTGCATTGCTGGCTCCTGAAAAGGGCTGAGTACACAAAGGTGACAGCTATCAACCTTAGGAGGCGGCGGTGTTGAGAGATGAGAGAGCAGATGAGGAGGAAGAAGTGGAGATGATAGAAAAGGGAATCAGAGCAAAACCGAAGAAAAAGTGAAATGAGAGTACAAGTACAACTGAAGCCAAACAAAATCTATGAAAGCATTTGTGTTCCTACCTCAACGTAAACTGTTCCGTGTTTGAATCTGTCTTCATGTAGACACCAAACGCCACAGTCTTGCCAAGGCGAACAGGGCTGGGTGGCACCAGAACCTCCACATTTTCATCCAGTCTCAATCTTTCTCCTTTGGTAGAAACCGGGCCCATAGTCATTACCACAGAACCAGCTTTCAGCATGTCCTGAAGACCCCCATCCACTAGGGGGCTCCACTGGCCCATACCAAGGCCTCCAAGAGGCCCATTTGCACTCTGACCTCTCCATGGCTCGTTAACAATGGAGGGACACTCTTGACCAGCCCCTTCCACTGGTATAATTGAGTAATACACATCCACTGACGGTAGAGTCACTTCAGGAGGTCTTTTTCTCACTTGTGGTGGTGTAAACCAAGCTGGGGGAATCTCCAGACGGACAACACAGATGCCAGATGGCCCCACAAGTCGGCAGCCCGCCGAGGGTGCTGCTTCACTGGTGTCACGAAGGGCCACAGCTCTGATACATGGGAGGAGGGCTGGAGGAGGCGGGTCAGGCTCATCCCAACGTCGCCCTACCAGGTAAAACAGTACCTGAAGACAAAACAAATACATCTAACGTCATAATGTCCTAAATTAGTGGATGGATAGCTAGCCAAGATTTTAAACTAATTTTAAACCTATACATTGAAAGCTGAAATTAATTGTGTTTAAACACCGTGCAAAATGACAAAATAGAAATAAAATAGTTAGAAATGGCGAAGAATATAACCCTTTCTGTACAGATTTCATTTTTACAGATTTCTCATTTACTAATGAGTATATTTTTTTAAGCTGCACTAAACAATATATTTATATTAACAGTGGATTATTGGGAAATAACTGGGTGCAATGTGAAAGGTTTGGCTCATGGTGATAAACCCAACTCTGAAGGCCCTCAGGGCATTTTATGGTTACTAGTAGGGATTGATTTTTTATCTCTTTTGACTGTTGCTAACAAGCTTCAAGTAGTCAATAACGATAATATAATGAATTTATACATGAGCAAACAGACAACATGATACATTTATATATGAAATCCTCTAATTACCTTTGGATTTATTATCATTCTACTTGTATGGGATTGATATTTTGACTACATGCTACAAGCCTAAAGCCTTATTTAATTGCATTAAGATATTTAAGAGTCAAACGTCAATAAAAAGGAAAACATTAAACTGAGGGTACCTGTATCCAGGGCCGTGTTGACCCCACTTTGGGCACCACCACTTGACCTTTGACCTTCCAGTTCAGAGTCACCTGGTTGGTTGTGAGCAGCAGATGTGGCGGTGGACCCTGAAGCAGGTCCACTGGGATAGGTTGCTCAATGCTCTGGTTTCCGTAGCTGCAGTTGACGGTCGGCAGGGATTGTGGGGCGGCGACTCCTGGTTCTAGCTGGTGAAGGAAGAAGGGCTCAGTCCGCGATGACAGGCTGCCATTTCGCATAACCTCCTGATTGGCTTCCCGAAGAAAGAACACAGAGTCAGCGCCACTTAGCTGGCATTGGACGGGTAGGTAGGTGGGGAGGGAAGAGGAGAAACGAGGCTGGGAGGAGTCCGGCCCTCCTCCTGGTCCAACTCCGGCTGCTCCTGCTTGGCTGTCAGACACTGAAGAGAGATAGGCGAAGACAGGAAGGTAGGGAGGAGAAAAGGTGGGTAAAAGAGAAAGGTGATAGAGAGACAGAATGATAGAGGAAGAGAAAATGACAAGAAAAATATTAAATGCATTATAAAAACATTCCATTCATAAAACAGATAAAAAATGCAGTGTCTGGCTAAAACTTGCAATGCTTACAGTGGCATTTGTAACTGAAATCCAAAGCAGCTAATCATGTATTAAAGTCAAGTCAACAAACAGTGTGTAAATCCAAGACTCATTGACCTGTGAAATGCATTTTTATTGTATACTCATACTGATATAAACACATGCACAGCATCTATCAGCTTTCGCATACATTCACAAATGCATTACAATCTGCTGACACAACATACACTATAGTACTTGGTGTTTCTTAACAGTTTCTCTACAAGGAGAAATGAGTATAAACACGTAAGGTCTCTTAGTTGTGTATACAAGAGTGATAGACTCAGCATCACACAGGGCTCTACATTAATGCAGCACTTTTTATCCCCATCCCAAGAATTACACCAGCATATATAAAAAATGACATATTGCTCTCTGACAGTTTATTTCCATATATTTAAATTCTATTTTTATTCATTTCCTTGTGTATTTACCAGTCTCTTCAAAGATGGAGAGTTTGGAGCCTGGGATTACCGGGCTTTGGTGCAGTATCTCTTTTCCAAAGAGGACAAGAGGTTACAATGATTGTGCTAGGATGCTTATTCTTATCCATCTGCTGTTTGGCTTGTCAGCATTATATTGCGCAAGGCACTGAATCAACAAATAGATAACTTCATCCATCCATTCATTGTCAACCGCTTATCCTGCGTACAGGGTCGCTGGGGCTGGAGCCAATCCCAGCGTACATCGTGCCAGTCCATCGCAGGGCCACCAAATGGATAACTTATTGTGAACTATTTGAATATGACTGTTGGCTAAATGTTAACATGAACACAATTTATTGTACTGGTAAGTAAAGTTCAGTTAGTTCTTTCTTTAAAGGCTAGGGTTTTGTGTTCAGTTGCCATAAAAGCTGATTTTTTCAAAACTTTGATTGTTGCTTAGTTAGTCACGAATGTTGTGTTACAGACGACAACTTAAGTCTTCAGCGGATTTAAAGAGTTAAGCAGTATGTAGGTCCTTTAAATTAATAGGTGTAGATGCAGTGTGTTGAACATTTTCTTCAATATTTCTTTAATTCAAAAAGTGAAACTTTTAATAATTTTTAGATTCATTATACATAAAGTGAAATATCTCAAACCTTTTATTTTAATTTTAACCTTGATAATTACAGATTACAGCTCATGGAAATCAAAACTTCAGTATCTCAAAACTATTACAATTTTAGAATAAAGCATTTATAAAAATATCATTTGAAATGTCGACCTGAGAAGAGCTCTAATCAGCTAATTAACTCAAAACACCTGCAGAGGTTTTGAGCCTTTCATCTCTCAGTCTGGTTCTGGTGCTAACAATGCACTTCTTCACGATATTCAAATTTCTTGAGATGTACCTGTATGAGACTATTGTAGAAAAGAATTTAAAGAACATGAATACATTAAAATGTAAAATGACACAGCAAAAAAGTATATTTTTCTCCACAAAAAATAGATGGTGTGACTTCCATTTTAACACACCAAGGAGCACAAACAAAGCACACACATACAGAAGTGGGTTTGTGCAGAAATGTGTGTGTGTGTGTGTGTGTGTGCGCGTGCGCGCGTATCCTTGTGTCCTAGGGTAGCGGAGTGTGAAAATATAATGAGAGTGGGACAGCGTAGCGCTGTCTGGGGCAAGTCATACTGAGGCAACTTCACAAAAAAATAATAGCAGAGATACCTCGGTGCAACATGAATAAGCAGGCTTGTTTGGTTATGGTGCGTGGGCACTTAAGGATACGTTTAGAGTGAGAAAGACTGGCAGAGGGAAAAGGAGAGAGAAAGAGGGAGGTGACATGGTAAGAGAAACACAGAGGCAGCAGAATAAAGGAAAGAAGAGTGAGACAAGGAACTAAAATGAAAAAGGGAAAACGAAGGGGACGAGATGGAAAAAACTGTGCACGAATAGCATGGTGTGACAGATTGGAACAATTGCATTTTCATGTTACACAGGATGGCTGCATATACTTCACTATAAATGACAAAAACTTCTCCAGTCAAATCTTTGTCCATGCAGAATCCAAGCACACTTTTTTATTAGTTGGATAATTCCTTTTCTAACATTGTGTACTGTACAGGCTTAATTAAGTTATGGTTTTTATGTTAAAATTTGTGATTATACCAAGTGTTACGTGCTTTGCCATGTGCTGCAAGAGGATAAGACCCCACAAGTAACTGTCAGGCAAACGTTTTGGGGTCATGAGTGGACGTCTGGAATGTGAAGAAACACATTTCTGTTTATTTTATTAATAACATCAAATAAAGGTGATATAAAAATCATTAGACAACATTAGGTTGTCATTTTGCCCATTTATGCCTGTAGCATCAGGATCAGAGAAGGCTAGTGTTTCATATGGAGCTTATCATCCATATTAGTGTATTACAGTGTATTTTAGTCTTTTCAATGTTTTCATGCTTTTATCTTGTATTGTTTTTGTATTATTGTCTCTTGGGTATTATTGTCTTTACACTTGTTAAAGCACTTTGTAACTTGTTTTTGAAAAGTGCTCTACAAATAAAGATTATTATTATATTCTTATTGAGAAGTTGAAAGTCACATGCAAAAAAGGCTGGTTGAAATGAGTGAAATTTTAAATGTAGTTTGTAATCATCCACTGTTGACCGCAAAGGCCTGCATGTGTGTCTGTGTGTGTGTCCACAGGAGTCTTATGAAGCATATGTCCCAATCTTGTACAGGGACCTCGAACAGCTGACACACACACACACACACACACACACACACAGAAAAACACACATAAATGCAGAGCTCTCTCATGCAGGCAAAGGTTGACCCTTGAATGGAATCATTAATATTGTATGAAATATCAGAAACAACCTAACTTTATCTCGGGTCATATTTGTTTTCTTTAATTATCCATTCTCATGATTTTTTAACAGATCAGTAGAATATTTTGTTTTGTCTTTTGTTAACTTGCAGCTGCTGTTCCTTGCTATGTTCATAATCTGAAAATGTAAGCATCTAATGTTGTCACCATTGTAAGCTTTTCTGGACAGCATCATTGTAAACTCTTTATTTTCTGTGAAATGATTAATACAACTTTCATAATATATAAGACAGGCCAATCTCAGTATCTCAATAGGTGGCGTTATACTACAAGTCAGGGTTGGCCCTTTGAAATCTGGCATCCAAATACTGTTATGCCATTGGCTACCATTAAACCTGGCATGATCCAGATTCCCTGGCATCATTATTTTGGCAACCACCAGCCACAACAGGAGTCCATACCCACTGTGTCCTGCTGCACAGTGTGTGCCTGTGTGTACATTTTGTGTGTGGATTTGATCTAGTGAGGCCCCTGTATGTGTATGCATGGTTAAGTAACTATATGAGGTTGTACAGTGTGCAAAATTGCATATGTGCATAAATGCATACTTTTGTATGTGATCATGACTGAGACAAAGCATGCTGTACTTATATACGTGTGTGTGTGTGTGTGTGTGTGTGTGTGTGTGTGTGTGTGTGTGTGTGTGTGTGTGTGTTTGTGTGTCTTTTTGTGTGTGTGTGGAAAATTGGACAGGAATAAAGCCAGATGTACAGAGACTTGACAAGGCCCATCTGTGGTCCTTCTTCCCCCCAAAAAATGCCCATCCTGCTCTATTTCCAATTACACACACACACACACACACACAACCAATAATCAAAACACAGTGGAGCGTGTAGGACAGGAAGAAAGAGAAAGGAAGAAAGAGCGAGAAGCAAAGCCAGATGGGTACGAGTGAAAAGGAGAGATACCAAGATGCGATAATGGTATCAGTGCTGCTTGGTATTGTGTTGGTTAAATATTGACTCAGATTTTTATATTTAATTAGAGACAGGCCCACAAACACATACACACATGATTAGGGCTATCTTTCATATCAGCCTGGTTTGGGTATCTTTCTACAAATGTGTGTATGTGTGTGTGTGTGTGTGTGTGTGTGTGTGTGTATGTGTGGTTAGACAAATAGGACAAACTCAGTGAAAGACCAGGCTTGTCGCAACAACACTGTCTACCACAGGAAACTGTTACCCACACACGCAGCAACATGAACTTGGACACAGACATGTTGACACACACATAATCCATAGCTCTGTGTAACTTTTCCACACATCCTTTGAGTTTCATTTTCAGCGGGTGCTGCATTGGCATGGTCCAGTGTTGTCAGGCATTGCCAAAGCAAAAGGTGCCAAAATGCTCCAAAATGTTTTTCTTAATGTATGACGATCATCAACAAACTACTTCTCCCTCTACTCCACTCCATCTGTTTAGTTCTCTAAGCCAGTGCTTCTATTTTTCTTGCTTAGTTTGTTTTGTTCTTCACTTGAATAAATAACTATTCCTTGTAAATTCTTCAGGCAGACTACTGGGCAAAGCTATTCCAAGCATGCATATTTCTACGACTGCTTTCTTGCATTTAGGAACTGTTAAAATACAGAAAAATGTCCAACATTGACGAACAGCATGAAAACATCAGCTTGAAAACGTGAAGCTTTTGCACCATTCAAAGCTTTTATCCACAGAAGCAAATCCCCCCCCCCCCCCCCCCCCCCCCCCCAAAAAAAAGCAGCACAGTCACAGCACAGCAAAGAAAAATCCATCAGGGGAGAATTTCCTGAAAAGAATGAACTCCATTGATCACCCAGATGGCACGCTATCTGAGAGAGAGAGAGAGACGGAAAGAGATAGGGAGAGTAAGAGAGATAGAGACGGATACAGGGAGATATATAGACAGAGATGGTGTGATATGTGGAAGAAAGGTAGGAAAGAGATGATAGGGTGAAAGAGGATGAGAGAGGGATGAGGTTTCTATTTCTGAGCAGGGCG